GTTGCACACTCCCAATTACATTTTTGCTATGTCCCTAAAGCCGGAAAAGTCCTGGGAATTTAAGGGTGATGAGTGTCTTTCTATGGTTGTTAAGACCTTTATTGGCAAAGAGTTCCAGGACTACATATTCCTAGCACACAATTCCAAAGGTTACGATGTGTACTTCATCGTTAGACAGTTACTGAAGGAAAAGATGTGCCTAGAATTGATTACTCAGGGTAGTAAACTAATCTATATGGAAATTAAGGTCCTGGGCATTCGTTTTATAGACTCTTTAAACTTCTTGCCCATGAAGCTTAGCAAGCTCCCACAGGCGATGGGGTTTGAAGGGTGCAAAGGGTATTTTCCACATTTTTTTAACACTTGAGAAAAATCAAAATTACATGGGGCCTATGCCCGGCGTGGAGCACTATGGTGTAGAAAGCATGATGCCCAGGGAAAAAGCAGAGTTTCTCGACTGGTATCGGAACCACAGATATGAGATGTTTGACTTGCAGAAAGAGCTCGCGTATTACTGTGAGCAGATGTCAAAGTTTTGAGACAGGCTTGTATCCTATACAGAAAAGAGATTATGAAAATGACAGAGAAAGGAGATATAGTAGAGAGAGGACCTGGTAAATTCACTGAGATAAAACTGTGTATAGACAAACGATATCCGCCTATATTACAAACCTAACCCCAGGGAAGAAATTCACTATTATGATTTTACCAGCCTGTACCCTTTCGTAAGCAAAACCCAAGAATACCCTATCGGACACCCCAATATACTTTATGACAAATTTGGACCCCTTGCAAATTATTTTGGAATTGCAAAAGTTAAAATGTACCCCCCACGAGGCTTCTTTTCCCCATTGTTACCTGTCAGAGTGGGTAACAAGCTTATGTTCCCGCTATGACAAACCTGTGCTGAAACCGAGCAGCGGGAGACGTGCATCCATACTGACGAGGAGAGGGCCATCCTGGGGACTTGGTGCACGGTGGAATTGAATGCGGCCATAGCGAAGGGGTACACAGTGGCTAAAATATATGAAATCTGGCATTTTAATGAAAAATCTGATGAACTGTTTTCAGAGTACATAAAATTACACCTCCACCAGAAACAAGAGGCTTCAGGGTATCCCAGCTGGTGCACAGACAAAGAAAAACAAAATCAGTACATTAACGATTTCTACCAGAAAGAAGGCGTGCATTTACGCCAACACGAGATCAGGTTTAACCCCGGTAAACGCCAAATCGCTAAACTGTTTTTAAATTCTCTGTGGGGTAAATTCGGCCAAAGAACAAACCTACCCAATAGCAGCATCGTGAGAGACCTTGACGAACTCTTTCAGTACCTGTTTTCCCCCCCACTACGAGGTTTCATCCTGTGAGTTTATCGACGATGAAACAGTGTGCGTGTCTTGGAAGCATGCAAAAGACTAGTACTCAGTCTCTGGAAATACCAATGTTTTCATAGCCTGTTTCACCACTGGTTACGCCCGCTTAGAACTATACAACCTGCTAGACAGGTTGCAAGAGCGGTGCCTGTACCACGACACTGACTCGGTGAGATCTGTGAAAAGGGGGGGTGACTGGAATCCCCTCTGGGGGATTATTTAGGGGACCTCACGAGCAAGATCCCGCCAGATCAACACATCACCCAGTTTGTGTTGGCAGGCCCGAAAACATACGGGTATAAGCTGTAGAGAGGAAAGGCCTGTATGAAAGTCAAAGGTATTACCCTAAACGTAGCAAACTGTGAAAAGATCAACTTCGACAGTCTGAAAGATCTAGTCCTGGACTATTGCACGGGCCTGTGAGAAAACACCTCAAAAAAGATAGAGGTGCAGCAGCTCTCTATCGTAAGAAACAAAAATCAATGGCAAATAGAGACAAAAACCCTTAATAAAACACAGAAAGTCGTTTACAACAAGAGGGTCCTAGGAGAAGGGTTTAAAACCTTGCCCTACGGCTTTTAAAATAGATATGAGGTGGAAACACCTCTTTTCTGCAATTCTCGTGGGGCCTAGCAACTGTGGGAAAAGTTACTTTATAAAAAATGTGTTGGATAATGCCAAACAAACATTGTCTGTTATGCCTGAGAATATTGGATAACATGGCTATCAAAATCATTGCAAGATACGCATGTCTGGGCTTGTTGAAACTTGTTTTGAGCAAGGCTAGGCATGCATAAGAATTTAAATTTAGTTTTTACAAAATTCATCACCATCCGGTCGTTTTGCACTAAAGTCATTAGAACAGAATTTTAAAATCCAGTCAAAAGATAAACCCTTGCTACGATGATGTAAGAAAAAACACGCAGTGATAGCCGCAGGCGACAGAGCAGGGGTCTTGTAATTGTGTATTGTGAAACACAATGTCTGTGGCATTTTTGTTTAAAAATTTCATAATGCTTTTAGGAAACAACACGCTGTTTGGGGGGTGCCCGTATGAGTCAAAAAACTCTCCACGGTTACGCTCCGCCAGATACAAGGTGAGCCAGTGTTCACCAAGTTGGTTGTGTGGATGCGTGTTGACCACCAAAGCTACGGGTCTCTGAGATAGCTTGCTGCCAGGGAGCCAATCACAAGGGAACACATCTAAGAAATTCTTTTTCGTGTAATGGGCCATTGATAAGACATGTGAGAGCTGCACGGTGTCCATGTTCACATATAGTCAAACAGAACGTTTCTCCTCTGATTTATCTCTACGACGTTGTCAAAAACCCCATACACAATCATATTGACGGTGACGGTTAAAGCCTTCCCAAAACGTATTTCTGTTCTCAGGTTCCCAGTTTTAACCAGGGAATTGTGATCGGGGCATTGCTGGTCGGGAGATGGGTCAAAGGCAAACAAGGTGTAACCCTGTGCAAACTCCTCACGGTCGATTAACAGAGAACGATCTTTCGTGTGTTTACCAGCTGTCTGTACCACATTCATGTATTCTCTCACGCAGCGTCCTGCCTCGAAGTCTGGTTGCAGAGGCTTGGTTGGTATCTGTTCACCATCTACATACAAGGCCAAAAAATTAATATCATAATGTTGAAAATGAAAGGGATTTTTTGTGTAACTTCTGCTAAAGGCATCATTATCCACAAACCCCAGGATAAGCATTTTGGGTAACTGTCCCAAAAACAGGTTCTCTGGGTTACTGACCCTGCTGCTCGCGGGGATGCTAAACACTTTCATTCTCACACGGTCCATGGGATATTTAGCATTAGCGGTAAGCAGGGCCTCCATGTGCCCCAGATGAACACTCGGGGCCACCCGTACTTTCTTCACAAAAAGGGATGCTGACACAATGCCATTAAACAGAAGGCGTCTTTACTGCATGTCAGTTTAATTTTCACATCCACTCCGTTCAATAAAAGTTTTTCTTGAAAAAGCAGGTCGCTGTGTAGATGATCCAGCAGCTCTACTGTCCTGCTCTGGGCAGTCAGCTTTGCACGCCTCACAAACCCTAGATTCCCGCCATCCAACTCTGTTTCTTCGTCTTGTCTGGCAGTGTCTTTGTAAAACAGGCCAGTGGAAAATTGCGTGGTAAAGGTGTCGTCGCTGTAATTGAGTGCTGATTCTATCAAGGCCCTGTAAGGGTAACAGTTGTTGCTTTGGCTTACAAGGCAGTCTCCCAGCGTGACATCCAACTGACTGAAAACAGAGGCCACGGGGTAATTCACCAGGCCCACTTCGGCGTCCATGGCGAGTTCAGTTCCATCTCCTTTTACAATCTTGCAACATAGATACAGCAGTGTGTTGTTTAAATCCATATAATCGATGCCATTCCCTGCTATAAAAACATCAATGGGGGCAGACTCCGTAACAGCCGATAGAGGTGGCACCTCAATGTAGATGCTTTTCTCAATGCTGGTCTGGGTAGGGGCTATTTGAAACAAGTCTAGTTCGGATTTGGTGCACTCTTCAGACCCGCAGTGAACAAAAGCCATGTTGATTAAAATATCTCTCTTTTACCAGGTGGAGAGCGTCTTCTCTTTCGCCCAGGCTTCCTCTTGGACTTTAGCTTATGGCTGGCCCTGCACATCAAAGCCCTTCTTTTAAAGGGTATTGGGGGACCAGTGCGTTGCAGGTATGATACATTTCTCTTTCTCTTCCTCCTTTTAATGTACATCAGCCCCGATCCTTCCTGTGAAGCTGTATTCGAGTCGGTTTGTGTAAAGTGTAAGCATCCTGGTCTGAAAGCCAAGCTGTTACCTGTCTTCTAGTTAAAGTTTTACTATGCTTTTTGGCCACTTGAAAAAGAGGATTCATTGCGCCAAAGCTCCCAACTTCCCTGGGGGTATAATATATTTTCTTTAACAGAGTCATCTGTGGAGACATGACTGTTCCTGGTACCGTCTTTTACTAACACAAGTATGGAGGGACACACATTCATATGGACACATTTAAATAAGTTTTATTCATTGCCTGGTTTAACACAACCTTTTCCAGCCGCCTGTAAAAATGGATGCCATGACCCCTACAATGAGGGAGTCTGATCTGGTTCATTCTTCTATTTTGTCCTTTTCTGGATTTTCCTCTTGAGATCTGTGTCTCAGACAGGAGCAAAAACAGCTGATGCATGATATATTTACTCCCACAGGGCTACCAATGTGTAAGTTCTCAAAGGCCTCTAGAAAGACATCGTCGATCTGTTGAGAGATTTTCAGACAAAAAAACAGTGTAAGCACCCCACTGCTTGTTTTTAGATTTATGCAATGCCAGGTCGATTCCTAACCCCATTACACCCCCATGATCAACCGTCGCTTCTTAATCATTCATTTACCTGAGCGATGTCTTTCCCGTTCACCTTGTCCGCTGGTGACTCCCCCAAGCCATGATCCTCTTCCAACTTTAGGGGGGTAGACAAACCTCATTGGTTTGGGTTTCGGGGTCGGGTTCCAAGGTATCTATCAACGGTGGAGTCAAAGGGCCCCTCCTTGGAACTGTCACTGCTGTAGCACTTTCTCCATACAAGTCCAAAGGTCCTCGGGGCTAAAACAAAGTCTGAAGTTCTCACGGGGGTGGTAGAGGAGTCCATGTTTCCTCTCAGCCTTTCCACAATTTCTAAAACATGTCTTCTTGGTAAGAGATTGCCTCCTCTGCCCGGTACTGGGACTTATGGAGTGATGGTTCTGCACTCTGATTGGCAGAGGGCGTTGGGAGGAGTCCTTAGAGGGGTCACATGACCCTCTTCTGGGTGGTTCACCCCATCCAAGAACCTGTCCTATTTTGGCCAAATCTCCTCTTGGGGCGGTCCTCTGCAGCCAAAACCCATCGTAATTGGTAAAGAGTGGTGGGAGGAGTTCTTAGAGGGGTCACACGAAACACTTCTGGATGGGTCACCCCACCCCAGAATTCCCCCCAGTTGGTCATATCTCTTGGGGTGGTCCCCAGTGGCTGAAACCCCTCCTGATTGGTAGAGGGCAGTGGGAGGAGTTCTTAGAGGGGCCACATGACACATCTTGCTTCTGCTTATGTGTCCGCCTTGACCCCGGAAGTAATACCCCATGGGTGTGGGACTTCTGGTGACCGGTGGGCAAGGGGTGGGGTTAACGTTTGATTGACAGTAGGGCCCTTATAGTACTGGAGAGCCTTCTTCTGTTTGTCTCCGTTCCGCTTCATTCCCCAATCACTTGGCCAGAACAGATGTCACTTATGATGTCAGTTGCCACCAGCTGGACAGTGGGACTTGGGTCTTTCTGTAGGACCTGGAGAGCTGAAATTACAGAGGACAATACGTTAGTGAACAGACTGTCAAATCACAGCTAAGTGTGATCACAGAACCTTGAACTACCTGAGCAGAATGATCACATGGAAAAATGTGAGACTGGGCTCAGTCCTTCTACTGGGATGGAAAATACATGAGAGATGAATATGACTCACTTTTCATATAGTCACCTGTGCCTGAAATAGCTGGAGACTTATTACCTCTGAATACCACACTACAGCAGCTCTCCAATACAAACAAAGCTTTAGGTTCCTCTACTGGGTCCCTTCCATGCTCTCAACTAGGGGGAGACCCTGACTCTACCAGAAAGTCATCCACTCTGCTGTAAATGGAAGAAGGTCCATTGTTTCAATAGCTTCCACTTTTAAGTTTGTTTTCCATCTCTATTCAGGAGACACTGCCTGAGCTCAAATAAACCTGGAATTTAACAGAGGCCAGGTCCAAGCTGGTTTATGCATGATACAGGGCACCTACTGGAAGAAAAATTGCTGGTGGGAAATTTGAGGTAGCAGAAAGTGGCTACAACTTCTTCTCACCTGGGGAGTCCACAGAGAGCCAATAAAGCCCAAAGAGTGGATAGCACTGGCTGTGGAGGGGGCATTGCCAGGACAACCAGGAGATGTACTGACTCATATCACACCTTCTGTAGCTTCCTCCTTCAGGGAAAATTAAAGCGGACTTTCTACTGGGCAAGAGTGAATTTATCCTTTGCTGTGTGGCTGATGCACTTTGCACCAGTGGTATCGGTTACTGCTGCTTGTCAGCTAAATTCCTTTAGAACTCACTAATGAACAGGACTTCAGCTGTATTTATTACTTACACAGCAGCAGATGTTCCAGGTCCAGCCATTTCATACGCTGCCTGTCTGTGTGTTCCAGGATGATGCCTAAATACACAATGTAAAATAAATAACAACAATAATAATAAAACCTTCCCTTGTTGAGTGCAAAGTGATATTAGCAGCCCCTAGACACGTCTTTGGCATCTCCTACTGTGGGCCTAAGGGTGAGCTGTGGGCAAGAGGATGCTAGAGCAGTTTAGAGTCCACACTGAAGAAAATGAGAGAGACATTTTTTAAAAAGAATGTTTCCATAAAACCCATTTGCTTGAAACAGTCTGTGTTCCTCTTGCCACTGCTGTCAGTTATTGGAGACATACTAAGATAGTGTCTTGGTCTAGTGGTCTGTGCAAAGGACTGGGGCCAGGAATAAGTGAGTTCTAAGCAGGGATCTCACAAGGTGACTGATAGGTGAGACGTAGGCCACAATGCCTGCCTGTCTCACATGGGTGTGGTAGGGTGAAGAGGGCACAGGGCCAAAGAGGAGGAATCTAATGCTTCCTTGACAAGGTGGTGTGGCCAGGAACCTGAAACAGCAGGTGCTATGGGGAGGTGGGCTGCATGCCTCCCAATGATGAAGTAGCAGTGAGGAGCACTGAACAACACTGTGGGTAGGTCTGCACTTTGATCTAGCGGTATCACTCCCAGTTCAATGGGACATGCCCACACTGGCTCTGACAGCGATAGCATGCTAACATTAGAATGTAGCTAAGGCAGCACGAGCAGTGGGAGGAACTAGCCACCTTGAGAATAGACTTTGGGGTTTGGACGGGATCATACTTGGGGTGGTTAAACCTCCTGCTGCTCCTGCCATCGCAACTACTCTCTATTTTTAGCACGCAGGACTAGTGCAGGTACGTCTCATCAAGCTGGGAATTATACACCCAGCTCAAAGTGTAACCATGCCCTACGTGACAATGTCCCTGCCTCTACTACTAAATGACTGCACCGTGCTGTCCCTGCAATGATCCCGAAGCACTGATAGCAACTAATCCACCACACTGGGGAGGTAGGGATATTAACATCTCCATCTATGGATGGGAAGCTGAGGCACAGAGAGATTAATGGCAGCTCAGCGCTGCACAGTGGGATTGTTTCTGTCTCCCTCAATGGAAATACCAAAAGGGACACTGGGCATCATCTCTCACCAGCTAAGTTGGCTGCAACTGCCCGGATCTCTTCCCAGCTGCTATAGAAGTACGTGATGGTGATTTGGTACAATTTCTCCAGCAGCTCTGCATTCTCTTTGGCCTAGAGGAAATCAGGGACACATGAGCTCTCTCTGGCCAGAAGTGCGCTTTGACTGCCAGCACATGCAGGTGGCTGGGTAGAAGTGGGAACAAGTGGCTGGGTAGAAGGAGAACAGGTGGCTGGGTAGAAGTGGGAACAATGGGAATCTGTGGCAGATTTACATTTCCCATCACCCTCAGTCGTATATCCCACTCTTACAGTTATTTACATTATCCATCACACATCCCCCCCCACAAACCTCTACACCACCACTCCAGTCAATAATCTCAGACAGTTCAACAGCTCACTCACAAGGTATCTGCAAATGTCCACATGGAGCTGTTCAGGCTTCAGCTTGGCTGTGCCACCAAGGTGCTCATTAATTGCACTTTGGAGTCTCTTCAGTCCCAAAAATGGGAAACAGAGGTGAAACGTAGCTCTGCATTCCTGAAAAAGAGTGTCACACCATTGAATTGTTCCCTACCGAGTGCTATGTTCATTCAAAGGGAACTCATCTGCGTGACTGCTCATCTATTCCAGGTTCAAAAGAAGAGATTCATCTGGATGTAATTGGCAGAAAACATGCAGGAATGACTAATAGACGGGAGAGCTTCAACTGAAACCTGGCGATAGCATCAATGTCTTTTGGGAACAGATAGACCGATGAAAGCTGCTGCACCAGGCATAGCTGTGGTCTCTCTGTTCTGGGGAGGCAGGGGCCTGGGGTGCAGAGACAGACAGGAACAGAGACCTGTCGGGGTCAGACCCATGACCTCTCCTGGATTCTGGTGAGGCAGCCATGGACCAACCTGGCTGGAACTGACTCAGCAGGAGGGCAATGAACTGAGGGGAGAATTTGGGCCTCCACAGCAGGCAGGAATAGCAGAGCTCCCCTGGCATTGGGAGGAAGATTCCTTTTGCTTAGTAAATAAGTCACTGTCGGTCTTACCATTGAAACCTCAGGGTTTGGGTCTTGCAGGTGCAGCAGAAGTGTGACCCAGCTCTTTTTAACCTGGTCGGCGAAATAGGTCTTCCATTTTCTCTTTGTCAGCCGGGCCAGGATGCCAAATAGGACAAAGGCCATTGAGCGAAGAGCATCATCCTCCTACAGCCAAGAAAGCCCCGCAAGTTAGTAACTAAGAGACAATCACATCATGCACTTTGCACAGCCATCTCTTCTACGCTAAAGTAGAGTGATTCCAACTACAGCTAGTCGGAAAAACGGTAATTAACCAATTTTTTGTTCGAATTTGCTGATTCATCAAAATATTTTAGAGACCGTTCAGTTTTGATGAAATTCCTCCGGAAGCCAGGTAGGGGTCCTTAGAAACTTGCCTGGTGTCTTTCCAGTGCACTCATCCAGCTCTGTAGCAGCCAATCTAGCAGGCTGATTGGGATCGTGGGCTTCCAGGCCCCCAGCTTCTGGGACCCTGGGAGTCCTGGCTCTCAAATTTGCAACTCCCTGGCACCTCTAGCTCCCAGAGTTTCCTGGGTTCCCAGCACCGGGATAGTCTGAGAGCAGACTGCCCTGGGCCAACGCTTCCCATAGAGCTAGGTTGAGAATAGTAATTTTGTTTCACAAAGAGTTTTGAACTTTGGGGAGAGGGGTTCCCACAAATAGGAACAAAACCCAAATTTGAAATCTCTAAATTCTGTCAAAACAGAATGATCATTCCAACCCTCTCACATAAAAATGGTATAGAACAGGCCCAACACTCTCTATTGTACTCTGTAACCCCCATTTCATGGTTATCTAGCTACCTAATCTAGTATTCAGACTTTCTTTGAGGTTCTCAGTGGCAATAAAGAAGAATAGAAGGGTGAGACTGTGGGAGCAGGGATGTCATCCCCATCCTCCTAATGTTCTCCTCCGTAAAACACCTCTCTTCCCTGGGGCCTAAAATCTCTTCACTCCGACATGAGCAATGCCCAGGGAGTCCACATCACGCATTGTAAATGGAGTCTAATCAAGATCGGTTGAACTGGGGTTGGAGAGATCTGTTCACATACATCGTCAAAGTAAGTCCGGATCTGTTGGGTGAGGTCTTTGAAGGAGGAACCTATGTCCTTCTCTTTCAGCTCCTTCAGGACTTTGGCCAGTGCTTTCATGCTCTCGCCAATGACTTCCGAACTGAAAATGTCATGTAAGGCCCCGATCAGTATGTCCAGAAGAAACTTCTTGTACTTTTTCATCTGTACAAACATATGACATTAAAGAACACTTATCACTGATCACACTTCTAATAAGTTTTCTTTAGCAGTTATGAAGCTGTGGGAATTTCATCAACCCCGTCTCCCCCCCAGAGACCTATAGCTATATTTCAGACCAGGTGCTAGCTACAATGAGCCCAACCTGGTGCCATAATACACCTGTGTAATCCTATTATTAGATTCCTAGTTACTTAGATTCCAAGGCCAAAAGGGACCATTGTGATTATCCGGTCTGACCTCCTGCATAACATACAACTTCCCCGAAATAGTCTCTGTTTGAACTAGAGTGTATCTTTTAGAAAAACATCCAATCTTGATTTTAAAATTGCTAGTGACAGAGAATCCACCACCACCTTTGGTAAATTGTTCCAATGGTTAATTAAAATTACCATTAAAAATGTATGCCTTATTTCCAGTCTGAATTAGCCTAGCTTCATTTTTCCCCATTGAATCTTGTTATACCTTTGTTTGCTAATGTGAAGAACCCATTATCAAAATTTATTCCCCATGTGAGTAGTTATAGACTGTCCTCAAGTCACTCCTTAACCTTCTCTTTGTAAAGCTAAATAGATTGAGCTCCTTGAGTCTATCACTAAAGGGATATTTTCCAATCCTTTGATAATTCTTGCGACTCTTCTCTGAATCCTCTCTAATTTATCAGCATCCTTCTTGAATTGTGGATACCTGATCTGGACACAGTATTCCAGCAGTGCTCACATGAGTGCCATATTCAGAGGGAAAATAACTTCTTTACTCTTCTTCAAGATTCCTCTGTTTATACCTCCAAGGATCATTTCAGCCCTTTTGGCCACAACTTCATACTGGGAGCTTATGTTCAACTGATTATCTGGCACGACTCAAGTTTTTTTCAGCATCATTGCTTCCTGGGATAGAGTCTCTCATCCTGTAAGTATGGCCTGCATTTTTTGTTCCCAGATGTATACATTTACATATGGTCATATTAAAGTGCCCATGGTTGACTTATGCCCAGCTTACCAAAGGATCCAGCTTGCTCTAGATTTACTGCAAAGAGGTTACTAGGGTATATGAGAGAGCAGAATTTGGCCTAGTGCATTTTGTGCAGCCTCTGTAAACTCTGAACAACTCTCTCTCTTGGTTTCTCTAGTTATGCTGCATTCTATTCAGTAATCTCTCTTACCTTCTCAGGTGCCCCATAAACTAAATTTCCCAGGCCTCTCACAGCCATCTGGCGGACAATGCTGTTCCTATCGTGTGACCTTTCTTCCAAGATGCTCAGGACAGACTTAAGGAACTTCTTCTCCCTGAGCATGGGATCACTCATTAGCTGAAATAAAATCAACATGTCCATTAGCCCCAATATGATCATTAAGATTGGCAATATAATTTGAGCAGACATGGAATACACTAAAAACAACAAGGAGTCCTCCTACAGCCACAGTCTTGTGGATACAGACTAATATGGCTACCCCTCTGATACTTGGCACATAAGACACTGTAACTTTATTATTCCACACAAATGAGAAATGTCTTAAAACATGGAGCTTTCCTTTTGGGCACTATAATAGGGATCCACTCACCTCTTGAGAGCCTCTTAGTGGCTGGGTCTGGTACCACAGTCCTTTTCTCACCCCTGGCGCACCCTGCCAGCCGACCTCAGTGAGTCTTCTGTGTCTCAGGCCTCTGGCTGCGTCCCAAAGTCCAAATGAACCCCTTCTGGGGTAGTCAAGAACAATCCCATTGCCCTCACTAGGGTCTCCAGCCCCAGCTCTGGGTTCTTGAAATTCTGCCCTTTGTTCAAGCTCTCCATAAGCATTGTCCCCTCCGTGGGGCTTATGCCACTGTAGATGGTAGGGGAACCAGGGCCTGCCCATAACTCTGGGTTCCAAACCATGGACCCTGGAAACAGTAGCTAGGCACTGCTTGATTTCAGTTCATTTTTGCTTCTTCCTACCGGCCACTTTTAGCTTCATCCTCACCTCCGGGTTAAAGTTCTTAGGGACCCTCTTCCTGCAAATCCAGCTTAAGCAAATGCTGCCAGAATCAAACTCTGGCTATCCCCTGAATTTCTGTGGCCAGAGAGCAGCACCCTTTCTTGCCCCTCCAGGTCCTGCCAGGAACTGACCCGCTAAGGCCCTGCAGCTCCTTTTAGCTGAGCCTGATGGGCTCTGATTGGCTGCTTTCATGAGTCCTCTCTAGTCAGACCCAGATTTGTGGCTGTTTTCCTGGGGCAGGGTGTAGTAGGACCACGGGGCCTCTTGTAAGGAGCCTCAAAGCCCAAGTACAGCCCATCACAGGCACAGATCGATTGTTTTTCTTAGAACCAGATGAGCCCCTAAGATAGTTGCTTAGCATAAGTGGGAAATATGATGCCAATGTTAGAGGAAGGCTGTGGAAAGGGCGGATGGTCCAGCTGTTATCACACTAGCCCAGGACTTAGGAGACCCAGGTTCAATTTTCTGCCCCCTCAAAGACCTTGGGCAAGTCACTTAGCCCTTCTGTGCATCAGCTCCCTGCCTGTAAAATAGGAATCATTGTGCTTCCCTACCTCCCAGGAGTGTCGTGGGGATATGACATTAAAGAGTTTTGAGGTACTCAGATACTACAGTAATGAGAACCTAAGATAGATGTGAATGTATTTGTATGTTGCTTGTTTTATAGTATTAGGACACTAAGGTTCATTCAGAAGATCTGCTGAGCTAAACCAAAATCAGGAGCTGTTGTGTAGTATCAGCACTAGGACTTGGCAGAAGAGGTCCAGGAATTCAAACTCTGTCTGTATCTCTCTCAGCCAGCACCAGTGGTTGTGTAGCTAGCATAGGCAATGACAGTAATAAAAATATCAGAGAGAGAATGACTCAGAAAGGTGTAATGAAATTCCTTGTGAGGTTTCCATATAAAGGAGGACCCATTCTACTATCTAAAATGACAATTACTCCTATGAACTGAACTGTACAACTCCCGAAAGAAAGGCAAACATGAGACAACAGTCTAATGGTGAAATTGCTCTTCAGAACCCTCTGTCTTACCTGGGCAAGGAAAGCTGTGCTGGTGACTCGGAGGTTTTCTGTTGGGGAATTCACCCAGGGGAGGAGGCTCTGTAAGATCTCAGGTGTTATTAGTCCAGATCTTAGCAGAACACTGGAAGACAAAATAAACCGCTTATGGGGTAGATTGCACACTTCAAAAACTCAGCTGCTCTGAGCATACAGCACTGATATCTAAGAATGGGAGCTGTGTGTTTCCACCCAGGGCATCCCCCACAAAGCTATAAACTGGAGGTTCCCTCTCAGCCACTCTATTTGCTACTGATTCCCAAGGATAAAATCATGCCTCCTAGATCTCTTACCTCACCAGCAGACACACTCCATCATGGTGAGTCTTGGGGTTTTCAAGCAGACTCTGTGTTCTCTGCTCCCTGAGCGCTCTCACCAGTCTCTCATTCCCAGCTTTGAAAAGCACAGCCTCTAATGCTTGGATAGAAAGCCTGGGGAAAGAGAGGCACAGAACTGCAGCAAACAGTAGGAAGGTGCAGCCTGAACAGAGCGAGGAAGCCCCGGTTACTTGTCAGGTCTGCTGTTCATCGACAGTTCATCCATTGGCAATATCCTGGACACCAGTGTCCCTGGAAGGACTTGATGCCGGGAGTTAAGTTTCAGTCTCATACATCTCATATGACTAGTTTTGCTAGGGACAAAATTTTGCAGTCATTTTTCCCTTTCTGCAAGGAGTATGGGCACTAGCAGAGTACAATGATATGGAAAAGATACATGATCAGGACCCAAACACTGGGGGCATAGAGTGTGGTGATCACTAATGGACATTTATGATGTGACAGAGAGCTGAGGGTTTGCACTTGAATCAGCACTCTGGTCACTATTAGTACTAATTTGGTTCCTCACAGAAGGCCTAATTGGACAGAGGTGTACCTGATTACGAGGTCAGATTGGGGCTAGTGAGTCAAGGAACCAATCATTCCATTAACAGGGAAACTGTACAAAAGGACATGGGCAGGAGCTCTTTGAGGGGAACAGACAGAGAAAGAAACTTGGGTAACCAGATGTCCCGATATTTGGGGCTTTATCTTATACGGGTACCTGTTACCCCCCACCCCCGTCCTGATTTTTCACACTTGCTGTCTGGTCACGCTAGGAGAAACAGAAAGACAAAAAGCTAGGAGAGCCTGACAAAGTGAGGTCTCTGAGTGGAAACACCTTAGCCCCCACTTTTGGAGAAGAGTTTAGAAAGTTGAGATACAATATAAAGGTGCTATGTATTGGTAGGGGGATTAAATAGACTATATGTTGGTGCTTACAAGCAAGAAAGTCTCAACGCGGTCTGTGTTTGTGGAAGATGTGGGGGTGCAACACCCCTCTCTGTCACAGCTGGGGGCTCATCAGGGATTTCCCTGTTATCTATGCAAATGGAGAGCCTGTTGGAGAAGCCGGTGTAGAGGTTTTGGCAGTCCGGGTGATGGAGGGAACACTGAAATGGATGGTGAAGCAGCAAAGAGAAGTGTAGAACAGGGGTTCTCAACTTTTCTGTTTCTGAGCCTCCCCCCACCCTCAACATGCTACAAATACTCCATGGCCCAGTTCCAGGCCTCTGCCCTGCCAGGCATCAGAGTTTGGGGCTCCTGGCTCTGGTTTTTAACCTCATGGGGTGCAGAGGCTCGGGGCTTTAGTGCAGGTGCTGGGCCTCAGGGCTCCAGCGTGGCTGGGCTCAGAGCTTCAGCTTTCTGCCCTGAGCCCCAGCTAGTCTAATGCCAGCCCTGCTTAGCGGACTCCCTAAAACCGGCCTGGTTGAGAACTGCTGGTGTAGAAGACCCTACAGACCTTCCAACAATCCCACCATGCAGAAAAACAGCCTTTGCTTGCCTGGTAGGTTTAACAGCAAAAGAGCCTTCAGGAAGGCTCATTCAGGTCATTCTTCCGCTCTACTCTGCTCTGGTTAGGCCTCAGCTGGAGTATTGTGTCCAGTTCTGGGCACCGCATTTCAAGAAAGATGTGGAGAAATTGGAAAGGGTCCAGAGAAGAGCAACAAGAATGATAAAAGGTCTTGAGAACATGACCTATGAAGGAAGGCTGAAAGAATTGGGTTTGTTTAGTTTGGAAAAGAGAAGACTGAGAGGGGACATGATAGCAGTTTTCAGGTATCTAAAAGGGTGTCATAAGGAGGAGGGAGAAAACTTGTTCACCTTAGCCTCTGAGGATAGAACAAGAAGCAATGGGCTTAAACTGCAGCAAGGGA